ACTCGAATCCACTCTGAATTTATCTGTATGTGTGTCGATCTCGATTATTTTTGTTATCCAATTAAACGCCGCTTTTAACGCACTTGCCCTCGCCGTGACCCGGCGCGTTCACCTATTTCAACAAAATGTCAATTTATTTCCATGCGACTGTCATTTATTTAGTAACTGTGATTTGTCGTTTTTTTAATTATTTTATAGTGATCACTATAGTCTAATGTTTAGAATGTCAAAATGTGTTCAATTTTATTTTGAAAGTTTTAATAAAACAGTGTAGTAACGTGCCTAGTGACCTGCTAAATAACGAGAAAATGTCCAGCGACAGTGTACAAATGTGTGCTGGTGTTGGTGACGATCTCAGTGACCAGCTACGCCAGAACGAACATATTTCGCATCTAACTCAAACCCATGCAACAAAAATTGATACTATGTGTTAATTATAGTCCATTCTTCTTCGACGAACAAGTACATAAGTTTAAATTTAGTCAAAGACGAGAAAACTGCACAAGAAATATGCCTTATTTACATGTATCGTCAATGCAAGCTGCCATGCGACTTCCCCTTCTGACGTCACAAGGTGAATTTCTGTATGCAAATGAGAAGCTAATGAGGAGCCTCGTTTTAAAATACACAAAAATAAAGTTGCCGTAGACTGAGTTTAAAACACATTTTTTTTCACTTAAAAAATTAATTCATGCTTAGAAACATAAAAATTAATAATATTTATGTATCAATGGATAATTTTAGGAGTGAAAATAGCAGCCATTTCACAGGCACTTTAATAAATTTATACCAGCCAGAAAGAAATTGCAGTTCACACTGTACTATTTTAAACATGTTCTACCAAAGTCTAGGATGAACTAATTCAACAGTCTGTTTCCACTCTACAAAGTTGTCAAATTAATATTCACGAGATTCTGCAAAAATAAAATATTAAGAATGTGAAAAAAGCCAGAGTACTTGTGTTTTCATTGTCATTAAAATCTGACCAGGGATATGCAGAAAATTTCACTTGAGCTGAACCAAATGGATGCCAAGCTATCAAAAGAAATAAAAAAATATTATTGAGAAAAATACAAAAAAATAATAATACATTTAATATAAAAGCAGATAGAAGTGCATAAAAAACTAATCAGCAGAGGTAGTGATCATGTAACCTAAGTGTATGTCAAATTTCCTTTGAACTGGATTGCAGTGTTCATTCCAGAAAATTGTCTCAGATTGGCTTCTAATTTGCATATTAATTTGCATACTAATTAACATATTGTAGTTGTATTAAAATATATAAAATAATATCCGTAGTTTTGAAGAAAAAAAATTAAGACTATTAAAGTGAACATCATTAAAATTGAGGATTACGTGAATTTGACCCTCTCCCTAATATTGTTTCACATATCCCTTAATAGTTTCGCGCCTATGCTGGTAATTTGCATACTGCACAATGTCAACAATTAAATCATAGCTGCCGTTAAATCCATCTCAATCGAGTTCCGCAATTTATTTTCCTGCTCATAATGGAGATAAATTATGGTAGCTAAACATTGAAATTGCCATTCTGACTTCAGTACCGAAATAAATAGCTGATTGGGAAAATGTGTCTGTTGACAGAGGTTTGATTTACCGATAAACTTCAACACAGGTAGGTCCTGGCATGGACGTCCCGGTAACGCACTCTTCAAAGGTAATTTAAAAGTGATGATAGATTCATTGATATTGAATAACAGTACTTCTCAATTTCATCATTGCTTTCAAGCAGTCACAGTTGGCCTAACTTGACTTGTGTTTTCTGGATAATTCTAGTCTAATATGTCGTAACGAAACCAAGTTTCACACTTTCTTTCAATCTTCTAGCAGTTGAACACCGGAAATAGCAATCATGCATAACAGAATCACAATCAGCGTGTTCTAAACTTTTACGTTTTTATTACCAAACGCTTCAGCGTGGTATTAAGAATTTGTTTTCAGGGTTGGGTGATACGAAGGTGGAAAATGGTTGCACATATGGGGGTAATCCCTGGAATTGCAATAGAGAGGGTTCAGGTCGAAATACAATATATCGTGTTTTCATGTTTCCTCTGATATTTCTGTGGTATTCTGCTGCTGTAACTAATGCAACATTTGTTCTAAAATTAAGTGTATTGTGTGCACTCAAGGATTATTCGTTTTTTGCTGAAAACACCCCTATTTTTCAATGGCAGATTCGAGCTAGGTTCACTCACACTGGGAAATGTGCATTGTCGCTTGAATGAGAGCTAATTAAACACATTTTCCAGATCGGCGAAATAGTATGTAACAGCCAATTGTAACAGCCTATCACATGATTTTACT